AGCACCGTCCGGCGGTGTTTGGATAAACTCTTACGCTATCGACCTTCGGCCCAACGTTTCCCCATCATCGTCAGCCAGGAATGCGGGCACGCCGAAAAGGCTCGCGTCATCGCTTCCTACGGCGATGCCGTGGCTCACATCCGACAACCCGATCTTGGCGATATCCCCGTGCCGGCGGAACACCGTAAATTCCAAGGTTATTATAAAATCGCCCGGCATTATCGTTGGGCGTTGGGACAAGTTTTCCGCACTTTCCGTTACCGCGCCGCCATCGTGGTAGAGGACGATTTAGAAGTCGCTCCGGATTTTTTCGAGTATTTCCAAGCGGCGTTCCCGCTCCTCCTCGCCGATCGCAGCCTCTGGTGCGTCTCCGCTTGGAACGACAACGGGAAAGAGCAAATGGTTGACGTCGGACAAGCCGAATTGCTTTACCGGACTGATTTTTTTCCCGGTCTTGGTTGGTTGCTTTTAGCCGAACTTTGGGATGAACTCGAACCCAAATGGCCCCGAGCTTTTTGGGACGATTGGATGCGTCAACCGGAACAACGCCGAGATCGTTCCTGCATCCGCCCCGAAGTCTCCCGGACGATGACGTTTGGTCGTAAAGGCGTGAGCCATGGGCAATTTTTCGATCAATATTTAAAATTTATCAAACTTAACGACCGTTTCGTGCCTTTTACCCAACTGGACCTTTCTTACCTCAAAAAGGAAGAGTACGAACGTTCTTTCCTCCCCAAGGTTTATGCCGCGCCGGAGGTGAGGGTGGAAGAGCTCCAGGGGAACCGGCGGCGGGAGCTGGGCGCCGTCCGCCTGCAGTACAGCAGCCGCGGTTCCTTCCAAGCCTTCGCCAAAACCCTGGGGGTGATGTGCAACCTCAAATTTTCATTTTTATTTCTTTTTTTTTTTTTTGGGCGGGTTTTCCCCCTTTTTTAATCTTTTTGGTTGGTTTTTCTTTCTTTCCGTGTTGTCTTTAGCGGGGAGGATCCGGTGCGCAGCAAAAGCGCCGCTCGCCCCCCTGCTTCGCCGGTGCCGCCGTGGGGGAAATTGGGGGCAGAGGTGGCTCCGAGCGGAGAAATTATTTTCCAGAATAAAAGGCAAAAAAACCCCGAAAACCAACCCAAACCGACCTAAAAAAGCCCCAAATTTCAGGTTTCTTTTGCTCAGCGCCCTCCCCCACTGCCAGCTCCCTCAGGCCCTATATCGCGCTATAGGGCCTCGTCCCTGTGTTCAGCTGGATGCTCTGGGCGCTGTATGCATCTGTAGGGGCCTATAGAGATATCTATGGGGGTCTATACAGATCTGTGTGGTTCTATACTGATATCTATGGGGGTCTATACTGATATCTATAGGGATCTGTGCAGATATTTATGTCGGTCTAGATAAATCTGTATGGTTCTATGCAGATCTGTGTGGGTCTATAGAGATCTATAGGGGTCTATACAGATATCTGTGGGGAACTATAGGGTTCTATACAGATCTGTATGGGTCTATAGAGATCTATAGGGGTCTATACAGATCGGTACGGGTCTATACAGATCTATAGGGGTCTATGCAGATATCTGTGTGGGCCTATACAAATCTATATGGTTCTATACAGATCTGTGTGGGTCTACAGAGATCTATAAGGGTCTATACAAATATCTATAGGGGTCTATGCAGAAATATATGTGGGTCTATATAAATCTATATGGTTCTGTACAGATCTGTGGGTCTACAGAGATCTATAGGGGTCTATACAAATACCTGTATGGGCCTGTACAGATTTCTGTGGGTATATACAGATCTATATGGTTCTATACAGCTATCTATGTGGGTCTATACAGATCTATATAGTTCTATACAGATCTGTGTGGGTCTATAGAGATTTATAGGGATCTATACAAATCTATATGCGTCTATATAGATCTGTGTGGGTCTATACAGACCTATATGCCCCAGCCCCTATGTGGTTTCAACCCTATATTTCAGGCTCCATAGTGGGCTGTGGGGTCTAGGGCACATATAAGGGTCTGCGCTCTGGTCCCTATATGTGGCTGTATGGTCTGGGCCCTATAGATATGCTATATACGTGTACTATATGGGGCTGTATGGTCTGGGCTATGCGGTCTTGCCCCTGTATGGGGCTATAGGGTCCGGGCGCTACGTCCAGGCCCTCTATCACGGTCCATACGCTCCCCTCGCTGTTGTTATCCCCTATACCGCAGCCCGCTGCCTGATCTATAGGTTCTGCCCTATACATTCCAGGCCTGAAGTACTGGGGGGCATCATTTCTGCTGCTAAAAAGCCTCTTTTGTGTTCAAAAAAGCCCCTTTTTAGCTGAAATAAACCCCCGACATGGCTTGTTGAAACAACCCGTGGGCAGGGGGGGGGGGGGGGGGGGGGGGAAAAACGTTGCGCTGGCCTTCATTTTGGGGGAAAAAAGCCCCTTTTTGGAGTGGGGGAAGTTATGAAATGGAAGACAAAAAATTAGGAAATTTTATCTCAATATATCGGGGTAAGAAGAGGGGAAAAGGGTGGTGGTTGTGGGGAACTGGGCAGACTGGTGACACTGTGGGGGGAGAGGGGGGGTTATACGCTACCCCCAGCAAGATTTGGGTTAAATCCGGGTGGTTTTGGGGATGGTTTTGGAGCTGGTTCCTCACCCAGTGTGGCACCAGTTTCCTCCCTGCCTCCACCACTGGTGCTGAGAACACCAAATCTTCTTATTTTCTCTTAAAAGGGAGCCAGGCTGCCCCCTGGAAAAGGGGGTTTGGGGTTTTTCAGCATTTTTGCCTCGAGGCAGCGGCGCAGGGCCCCTCTATTCACCAATTCCTCCCCAGTTTGTTTTTTTTTTTCCCCCTCAGGGCCGCAGTTTAAGGTGGAAAAATCCCCATTTCCCAGTGTGCTGGCTGCTCCCTGCAGGGAAAATACCCAAACCGGGACAAACCACCCCAAAACCAGAGGACTAAAAGCCCCAACCCCCCTCAGGTTGCCCTGGAGCTGTATTTTGGGGCAAAATACACCCAAATTGGTGGGGTTTGGGTATAACGAGGTGGTGATTTTAAAAAAAAAAAGCGCCTTTGGAGCCCGGTTTTTAGAAACGCCCGCCCATTATTGACCCCAATAGCGGGGTTTAAGCTCCCC